GGGAGTATATGAAAGGGAAGGGAAATCTGTCAAATCGGTCTGTGAAAATGCTCAGAACGATTAACAGATGTATTTTATGACTGTAAAAAAGTCGAGAAAACTTTCTGGTTTTGTGATTTATTCACGTTTTGAAAACAGCGCATTTATAGCAGTTGAAAGAGGTAAAAAAAAACGAACTAGGTATGTGAAAGGGGTACCATTTGTCAGTGAACGTTATACGAAAGGAGCACCTGGAACTCGGGGAAGAGCCTCGCCGTAACGGTCAACACTTATTTCCATCCGCCAAACTAACGTTGACAGATTAATGATTCGTAGACAAAGTAAGGGTTAGGGTTAGGGTTGTTGGTATATATATTCAAATCAAACCATCCATTGTCAGCAAATCCTCGGTGGTATAGGGGTCAAAGTGATGTACTGCAGAGCCGATATCCTACTCGTGCCATCCTGAATTTTTTTCCCTTAAAAATTGAAGAGACCCAGACTCATGAACAGAAATTTCAAAAGACAGAGAAATTTCATGTAAGAAAAGTGAAATGTCTTGTGAGAGCCACTGAGAGGAAAATGTCAGTTTGGCGGATGGGAAACAAGTGACAACGTTGTTGAGTACCTTCACGGGAATTTTTCAAGGTAATGGCCTATTGCCTTTTCTCTTCTCCTCCTTCCTTTATCTATTTTCCTCTCCTTTCCTTCGCTATTGTGATTTTCGATGTTTACAAGAAAGTCTGAGGCCAGACTTACAAGCAACATTTAGAAACAGAAGTTAAAATACCTTTTTCTTCACAATATTTTCCGAGGAATCCCTCAGCACATGCGCAGTGATATTCATCATCTTCGTACTTTGCAACACAAGTCCCACTGTTCATGCAAGGGTCACTGGAACAAGGAGTCTGTTTTACAGTAAATTGTAAATAAATACCAATAAGTCTTTTATTATTTTTTGAATGTCCTTACTTTTTTCCTCGAGAGTTTCCCACCACACATCTTTTCAAAGATAGAAATTTGCTGGATCACCATAACCGTGGTTAAAGAGAAAAAAAGAATCAAGAAAAAAGAATCGCTTGGGCAAAAATTAAAGAAAAGGCCTTTTGGCAGGTTCTCACGTCTTCAAATTGTCTAATTCGGGATGAGATCTGTTATCAATGGCTCGGCCGCCATCTCTTCTTACAGTTTTTCGCAACGGATAACAATTTATATAGAGAAAACCAAAAGGATTTATTCTGCCTCTTGAATGTTAAGACCAAGGGCCATCGCTATCCATCGGAAAAACCACTGGATAGCATGATTGGTTTTCCTAATACTCTCCCCTTGGATAGTTATTTATCTCTTGTGGATAGTGTTATTTACCCTCTGAAAAACCGGCACCTGAGAACTAAATTTGACCTAACAGATGTGCTTTCCCAAAATGAAGAAAACATACACCTAATTGCAATAATGTTGTCATAGAAAAAAAACAAAAAGCAAAAAAGCCAAATAGGAATAAATTAGCCATGTGATTTACATTTGTGTATTTTAATTCAGTATTTAACAATTATTTAAGAATTCATTCACAATAGCAAGAGATGATTCTGTAATTCCGCGCTGTAAGATAGACAGGCGCCATAGTCATTTTAGAGCCAACATTCTCCATCAAAAGAAGTCGCACAATTCGAGAAATAAAAAGGTAAATTGACGCGAGCAATGTTATGTCTCACTTGTCGCACGTTCAGTTGCCAATCTATTATGTCCTGACAAACGAAGCTTGGTTTGTGGCTCAGGTGAGGAACTGGCGGAGGACCCCCTCACCCTCTCCACAATGAAAAGTCCTGCCTACGCCCCTGATTTGTTGCTTGAAAATTGTGATCAGATGGTATTGTGCACTGCAAACCATACGCAGACTGGCTTTTCTTTTTAGCACTAATCTAAAACACGCGTTGAGTTCCTGGAATTTACTCCAGGCTATATTTATTGAAAAAAAATGAAGCCATTATTTCTTTGGTAGTTATCCGATGTGCTTTGTAATTCGAGCAAGTTTGAAATTCGCTAGATGATTCAGCCTTGAATTGCATGAGAATGACAGTAAGAAACTGATGCAAATGATTTCTCTCATATTACGTGATTAATATTCAGCTGTAAGCGTGTGTTGTGAATGTTGCAAGCTATAATAATTACAGGCTAATTAATTCCTATTTAACTTTTTGCTTTTTGCTTTTTTCTTTTTGCTTTTTTCTATGACAACCTTATTGCAATTAGGTGTATACTCCCGATTGTAAAAGCAGTTTTGAATTATTAATAACATCTCACGGGCATGAATAGAATTATTTAACTGGAAACTAAGCAGTAAATTGACTTTGTCAGTTGGAAGCAGTCATGTTTTGATAATGAGAAAAATTTCTAACTGGGACACCACCTAATTAGCTTCTACAAAAAGCGGCAAAAGTTTTAATTTCAAAAGGAAATTGGCCCCTCCTTTTGATTTACCAGAACATGGATATCTCAGCTCTGAATATCAAACCAAACTAAATGTGTAACACATAGCAAAAAGATTTTTCCAGGCATATTTACCCTTAAATCTGCTTGAATCAGATTCCTTTACGGAGAGCGTGACCATTCACTGACTATTAAGAAAGAGTAATTTGAATATGCTGGATTGCGTAATCCAAAATACATTGAATAATAACTAGCTCCAAAGTTATTTATAATAATTAAAAAAATCAATTATACGAAAGAGGATCATCGCAGTTATAGACGCAACTTTTGCAGTTGCGAAAAGAAAGCCTGAAAAAAGTTCAGGCTTGTACTGGGATTCGAACTCTTGACCTCTGTGATACGGGTGCAGCGCTCTTACCAATTGAGCTAATAAGCCAACTGGGAGCAGGTCGTTGGATTGTTTGTTTATAAACCCGTGAAAGTATTCCAAGCTTATAATATACAATCATTTTGAGTTATATTGAAAGGATAATCTATATATAACTCGCATTTTTTTTGTCAACTTTTCAAAATAATGAAAAAAGATACTGAACCTGACAGCGGATATTAAATTGATACGGAATCTGTAATGAATAAAATTTACGTAACTTTGTCATGAGTTGTTGTTTTTTGTCTTTTGTTTTTATATTTTTGTACGTTTTAAGCTCACCTTTATGCTTAAATGATGGAACACAACGCTGTCAAGAAACTTGTCTGAGTTGTTGTATTTATCGCTTGGTAGAAGCTCACATAAAAATGTTTTTGTTATTTTCACTGAATAATCTTTTTCACCATTGTATAATTTTTCATTTAATTTTTGCAGGCGATGGAGTTCAGTAACCCTCTATACGCTCCACACCTTCACCAACATGTACGTATCCTGAGTTGTTTGACGTTTACTTTTTCAACCTGCAAAGGTTTTCTGTCAAAACCGGAAAGATAATGGCTTTCCTGCATGAACCAGAAGTCATTTCTCGATGAACTTTGTTGGTTTTTGAGGGCCCATTTTTTGTCTTTAAGTTTCAGTTTATTTATTTGCCAGAAAAAAATATATATACAGACATTCAATATACCACAAAAATGATAGTTAAAGATTAAAGAGATTTAGAAGTGTTTTTCTGGCGAGGAAACTCAAATTGAAACCTTGGGGCATACTAGATGAGCTGCCGCCCCCTAACCTAAGACTATAAATATAATAAGTAAATAGGCCGCGAAATAATACTGAAATATAATTAGGATAAAATGCAAGCAAAACATACAAAAGGGCAAGAAACAAATATTATTTGCAACTGGTGAATCACTAGCCTCTCACGCAGGCGTTTTTAGGGGAGCTGGTGCTCCCCTAAAACTACCTGTGTGGGAGGTTAGTGAATCAGCTAAGGAGAAATTTTTTCAAAGAGATGGTAGAAGCATTTTGTATATTGTTATTTAGTGAATTGAAAAATTTAGGACCCTGAAATCTTATACCAAAAAGTGTTGGTCATCAGTAATATTGTCTCTCTAGACTCGTAGCCCTTTGCTGTTTATTTGTTTTTAGATCGCGAGAAAATTGGAAACAAGAATATTGAGTGCGCGATGTGACACGTGGGCGAAGTTAAAAAAAAAGCCATTTTCCGCTTCAGAATGTCTTGATTCCTTGTATATAAAACCAGCGTCAGGAATTTAAAATGGATATCCAAAAGATTTCAGAAATCTCAGTGCTAAGCACTGGTGTTCAGTCTGTCGAGCGAAACATTTTGCCGGGGCGGATATTTTTTTCCACTTGCCCCATCCTATAATACACCTCTCCCCACCCAGTCTATTCTCGCATCCAGTCCTTTAACGATAGGGATCTTAAGCAACGACGACGGCGACGACAAGGAGAACGGCAAAAAAGCAATTGGTTTAGATTGGCAAAACAACAACTTTGCACGTGCATCACGCTTCTTTGTACATTTCTTTGCCGTCGCTGCACGACTACAACGTGAAAGTCCCTAATTTCACGTTTTGTCGAGGACGTGAACACAATCGATACAGTCTTTTAGAATTCAACTCCAGAAAATTTGCCAACATTTGACGATTTGAACGAGATGGAATAAGCGCGATAAAGTCTAAAGCAGCGCGAATTCACTTTTTATGTGACGTTTTCGTAACCGTCGCTGTCGTTGTTGCTTAAAGTCAATTTCATCGCGGATGGATCCGTGACTGTTGTTTTCAGCAGTTAATACACAATACGTTCGCCAAATGTTAGGTCCATTGCTTACAATGGCCTCATGCCAAGATCCCAAAACAACCTTCAGTTTGCCCGAGAAGCTAATTTACCTTGAGAGAATGTGTTCACAATCTTTTGTAAGGCATGAAAATAGTTCCCTCAAAACTATTTGGAACGTCAAAGCCCGATAGACGTTCGTTTTGGCTGAACGCGACAGGGAGATATTTTCAGTAGGGGAGCTAAGAAAGTACGAAATAGGATGAAAAAGGTCTGAACGGTAATGCACTTGTTTGGGCTGAGAAAATTATGATTAATAGTTTTAAAGAGAGAAAGAATCCTTTATCGACGTTGTAAAGTTTCATCTCTTTTTGTTGTCACCAGGTGTTATTTCCAGTAGCAAGTATGAGAAGACTTGATCTGTGGACTCGTTATTATATTCGCTGGAATCCTACAATGCAACCTCAGGTATGTGATACCTCTGCCTGTAGTGCATGCATGTGAATCTGTTGAAAAGTTCGATCTTGAAAGCAGTTGTTGGTTTTTGTTTGGTTTTGCAGGAATCAGAGGAACAGAGAAGCCGAGAATTGCACTTTCTTTGCGAACAGGTACCCAAAGAATATCCCAGTATTGGAAGAAATTTCATACCTTTTTCTGCAATTGGCAAATGTATATTTCGCCGGCTCTTTTCATGAACAGTTTAGACATTTTTTTTTTCTTTTTTTGTAATAATTTTAAATAGAGTGCAGTCTCTGAGAAAACTTACTTTCATTTCTTGCTAATCGTTATTTTTACAAATGAGTCCTTTCACAGCTGAAGATCACCTTTTCACAGTGAGACAGAAGGGGGTGGGGGGTGGGGGTTGGTTACCATTCAATAAGGTATGGATTTTCTGTAGCCGTGAAAACCATTTCCATCCCCGTCCACGTTGTCTTTGTTTCAAGCTTAACTCTTCTTCACAAATTGGTTACTTTTCAGCTGCGTCAAAAGTGCGAAGAACTGGAACGAGAGATCCTGGCTCGTTCATCAGTGGAAGTGCCCACCACACCAGATTCCATGTCCGTTAAAAGCAACCAATCACAACAGTGGGCTCAGTCTTCGGCCGTGTGAATACTACTTGAAATGATCAAAGAGACTATATACAAGTCTCTGTGGACTCCACCGCGGCCTAGCATGTTTAAATGTGCTTTAGTTTAGCCACGTTTTAATCCCCTATATGGAACATTTTGAACAAAAACTTTTATTCGACATGCCTGCTTCATGTCCAAAAATACTCAGAAAAATATAAAGAATTCTTTCTGAGTAAGAAATTATTTTGAAGATAGTATGGAAACGTGGACTTCAGACTGATCAGTCAATGTTATGTTGAAAAACTTCGTTTATGTAAACTAGCTTTCATTTGTTCAGAGATTATTGAACTTTGTTATAGATAAATGGGTAGAAAGAATGCTAATTAACATATAATGTCATTTTACATTCATTTGGTTAGGAAATCTTGCTTTTAACAGATATATAGATTACGAATTTTGACGTTGAACTGCTTCTACGATATATAATTATATGATTCTGTATTTGTGCAAAAGTAATTAAATAAAGTTGCCTTCTTTGAAGATTTCCCTCAAATATCAGACTCAGCTACACTTTCTCAGTCTTCTTAAGCTAAAAAAGTAAAAATAAATCAGTTGCAAATATTCTTAAATCACGAGAACGCCTCTGATTAAATGTCAAGGCGAAGCATATATTATTTACAAGCTACTACCTAATCATACATTGTGAACTAAAACGATGCAAAAAGGTTCCTATGGATGCAGAAATGCTGTATCATAAAGAGGCTGTCTTTTGGCTCAACAATTTCAAGAGCGTCCACTCCCCGCCCCCTCACCCCTTGGGGGCTTTTTCCATCAAAAGTCTGTTCTGGGGGTGTGTGGTATCATTATTTTCCTCAGAGACGTCTTATCGCAGCCCAACACTGATCAGTCGATTGGCTAATGACCGGTGTCCGTTGGTGTTGAACGCGACGCCATTACCATCTGAACCATTAGCGGCTGTGCGAAAGTACGGCGACGTGAAATCACCACACCAATCACTGCATTCCTTGTAACAACCTCGTTCAGATACTACTATTTTGCGGTAACCAGACACGAGGAAGCCAGAGTAAAATTCATTATCACAAATCAACAGTTGATACTCGTAATCATCATTCATTGATCCGAAGCCGTGCCATAATCCATAGGTATCAGCTCTGTTGCCATAGTTACCATCGGCCTTTATCTTTGTAACGCCTGCGTTTGTGAAGTAGGACTTATTCCCAGTTTGGTGATCAATAAAGATAATTTCACTAAACTTGGGAAAAAACAGAAATAATTAATTAACAATTAATGAATGAGGCTGAGTATCTTATGAAGCATTATGGAGATCGAGGTGGGTGTATTTCGAGATCTCCATAATTCTTCATATGATACAAACGGCCAATTCAATAATTGTTTTATTATTCATTCAAAACAATTCCTTGTTTAAAAACATAGCTAAAACATGCGCACCTCCATCGATGTTACGTTCATCTTCGAGAGACTCATAGTGCACGTTTAGGGTTGTACAGCCCCGCAAATATTCTCCAAATAGCAGATGTCGCCGTTCGAGTTGTCTTCTTGCTCTTCTTGCCATGTTTTTGGCAGTTATTTAGCCTAGTTCTTACTCTTGAAACGAATGAAATGTCCGACATTTTTGTTTTCATAACCAAAACAACTCAACCTCGTCCCCAGGTCTTCTCGGTTAACGGTGCATTAACCCGCAAGAAAGCTGCACTTTTGACGTCATCGGTTGATTAATCGCAAAATTCTTCCAAATTTGGTCATCAGTAGCTGGTTATGGTGAATTATGCGTGTGCTTTTAGCCAATCAGAATCGGGAAAATATTTTGAATGAGTGATAAGGAATGTTAAGTCTATTCAAAAATGGTTGTTTTGGTTCTCTTTTGGGCACTGGATTTTCTCAAAGGAACTATTCTCATGACAGCAAAATAGCTTGAATTAATCCGACTATCTACACATACAAAGGCAGAACCTTAGCTTCTGTCCTGTGTTCTGTATATGCCCCGAATATAAAAACCATATATGGGAATATACCCGACGTCGATAATCGAACAATCGAGCTCAATCAGTCGGATCTTTGTTCGATTGGTTCGGTGATCGAACATAATCGAACTGAAACTTTTCGGTGAGTTCTCCGGATTACCGAACTGCATCGAACCAATCTAACTCAATCGACGCGCTTAGTTCGATTTTGTCCGGCAGAAAGGCAAAACGCATGCAGTTTCAATTGAAACGTAAAGATCTCTCTCTAGTATGCAAGTTAGAAAACAAAAATATTTCAATGAACTAACTCAAATAACTTTACGAAGGAACTACGGTTGTTTATCAATGTGTTCGTCGTTTCAATTCCACATGAATAAGAAAGAAAGTGTAATATACGAATTCGAAATGGATTTTAAGAAATGTTTTTGTTGCTGTTTTAATCTCAGCAATGACGACATAATTTCTGTTTTATCTAAAAATGTTGTGTTGCGTTTTGTGACCACCTCCAGGTCTGAAAACGGGTATGGATTTTAGACGCCAGGACTGAAAATGACATTTTTTGGTCTGAAATAGGGTCAGGATTTTAAGAACCGGGCGGCACACCAAGCCAAGAATTTCCAGGAGTATCCCTCCCGGGAGATAGGGATACTCTAACTTCAAGATAACAATCTAAATTTTTGAAGGTTCACCACAAAATGGAATACTTTGTATGATTAAATATCAATTAAACAAACTGAGAAAGAACTCTTTACGAGCGCGAGCAGTGGTGCAACTCAAGCCTGCGTTAAACTCATCGCTAATAATGAGCTTAGGAGCAGGTGCCTTGAAGGTTAGTGGGAGGCCAAATGCAATAAGCAGAGAGGAGGTATCCATGGCAACCCTGGAAGCGGGAGCCACCCCAAGAGCGGCCACTAACCGGCACCGTCACACTGAATAAATTCAGTGGAGATACTTACCTGAGAAAACTGATGATTTACCAAACCACCAGGCAGAGAGGGAGGAGAGGGAGCAAGAATCCGCAATGATTCGCAAGAAGGCAAAAATTGATCCGCTACGATCAGCAAGCTACAATGCAAAGCAACACTAGAAAAAGGGCACACAAGGAGCCCTGCAATTCCCCGCGGGCCGCCCCGTAGGTCACATACAGAAGTGGGAGAAGACCGCTGGCCAACTCGCTCGAGTTTAACTTTACCTAAATGATATCTAGCCACATAAAACAGCTGTCTCAGTCCTGGCGAAAAGTCCTTAGCGGGGAGGAACGAGGAGAGAAGGCTGCCTCTACACCACCTCGCAGTTTTTTTTCTGCCGAAACATCTCTTTGCGCCGTCTGCCCCGTTCCCACGATCTGAACGCTTGGAACAGGCTACTTATGCAGGTTATGGAACAACTGTCATAACAATGAATAACAAACTTTACTCCTGGCTGATTTCCGGTCATTTGAATTAATTGTGTTAAAAAAAACGGTACCGCGCATGAGCCTAAGTGTAGGAGTATTTAGTAATACATCAGTTATGGGCTCCTGACAGGTGCAGCACGGTCTCTTTAGCACAATGATTTCGGGAAATCGGCCGCGAATACAGATTGTTTTGACAGTTGCACCACCATAACAACAAACAACAACAACAAATTTTATTGAGGTTCAACATATAACTAACAACATTATTTTCCCACCCACGAATAGCTTATAAACTAATTGCGGAGGGGGGAGGAAGGACATCTTTACAATACAAGGTTCATCTATTGCCGGTTTACATGTGAGATCACGGCGCCCACGTTGGTGGTCAAGAACAAAAGCATTTTTCTCCTCTGGGAACTAAGCTCTATTTTCATGTAAATTTTTCGAGAAAAAATTCAATTGTATTGACCCCCAACATAGCCTCCTTGTTACGTGTTTGCAAACCAAGAATTAGATGGACTAAACAACAATACAATACAATCAATAGAATACTCTAATAACGTAAAACAAAGTACCGTATTTATTCGAATAAGCGCCCAACCTCGAATTAGCGCCCACCTCGAATAAGCCCCCATCCTAAAGGCAGAAAAACTTATTATTATTCCTTCAAAATATGTCCCTAATTCTGATTGGCTAGAAGCACTCGCATAATTCACCATAACCAGTTACCAGTTGTGTTTAACGAGGAAATGACGTCAAAAATGAAGCCTCTACGGGTTAATGCACCGTTAACCGAGAAGACCTGGGGAGTTGAGGTTGAGTTGTTTTCTTTGTGAAAACTAAAATGGCGGACACTTCACTCGCTTCAAGAGTAAGAACTACAGCTGGAACTAGGCGAAATAATGGCTAAAAACATAGCAAAAACAGCAAGAAGACAATTCGGAGGGCGACATCAGCTATTTGGAGAATATTTGCGGAGCTGGACAAACCTAAACGTACACTATCGAAGATAAACTTAACATCGATGCAGGTAAGCATGTTTTAGCTGTGCTTTTAATCTAGGAATTATTTTAAATGAATAATAAAGCAATTAACGAATGCGGCTCTCGTAGCATATGAAAAATTAAGCAGATCTCGGAGGGAGTTATCCATCTCGGCCTTCAGCCTCGGTGGATAACACCCTCCTCGATCTGCTTAATTCTTCATAAGATACTCAGCCTCATGCATTAATTGCTAAATAAGGGCCCAGCCTCACTTCACAGCCTTCCCCTTCCAACTCAAACTCAATAAGTGCCCACCCCTACCCCAATAATATGCAATAAAATGCATACTACACTTGCTGAAAATGGTGAAAATTTAATAAGCGCCCAGCCTCAAATAACCGCCCACCTCGAGTAAGCGCCCACTCTCAAGGTCCAAAAATTCATAAGCGCCCAGGGCAATTAATTGAATAAGTAAGTATAAAAACTGCGAAGATAAGAATACAATTTGTTCAAAAACTTGATGTATAATTAGGTGAGTAGAGAGTGAAGAGTTCTTTCCCAGTTTGTTTAACTGATATGTAAAGTTAAAATATTGTTTAGAGGTGCAGCATCAACAATGTAACGCCCAATGTGTCATTACTCTAACAATAAAAAACCTTCTTATTTCACCAACTTGAGAATGGATTCTTTATAGATTCACTAAATCCACTTACTTTAATTTGGTTGCAGTTCGTTCTGTAACCATCCGTTCCATAAGGAAGCTCAGGATTGTAGGTGACTTCAGTCTTGGGTTTGGTGAATTCATCAGTTGTGTAACACATGGTCCATCCTCCACTGTATGACGTCATGTCACAGTACGCCAGGAACGCGTTTGAATGGCTTCCTCTATCAGGGTCTAACCAATACATACCGTCTTCGAAAAAATTACCCTGCTTCTTCAAATCCTGGCAGTCAAACCTGACTGAATTTTAAACATTTTCACGTGACTTCAAGTTTATATGGAAAATCAGAATGAGAAAAGGTTTCAAAAATTTACCTCCTCGAGAGTGTTTTGATATAGGGTTTTAGGGACCTCAAGTTCCCAGAACGGCGATAACTTAAAGGTGAATTCGTCATCGTTGTTATTCCAATTCAGACTTTCTTTGTCAAATGCAGGCGAACCCTTCTGGAGTCAAGAGAGAGTAAGAGAAAGAAAATTTTGTTGTTGCTTGTTTCCATCCTCCATGAAACTTTCACGTCTTAGGTCGTGCAGGTGACGGCAGGATAGAGAAATGTACACAAAAAGTGTGCTACACGTGCAACGTGGTTGTTTTGCTAATTAACCCTATTGCTGTTTTGATGTTCTCGTTGCCGTCGCTGACTCGCCGCCGTTGTATCTCAAGGTCCCTACAAGGTTTCATACTCCAATGACTTGAATATCTATCTTACTCCTCCTTCATCCCGCCCTCGCTTTACTTTTAATTGTGGTCAGTGTAGGGACTTTCACAACCTTACAGCCTGAATGCACAATTTCACACTTGCAGAGTATTTGTGGGTAAGATATAAAGGTAGAGAGGCAGTCTGGCCCGCTGGTCCACACGTAACCGAAATTCAACTCCCCAACTGGATACAATTCCATCACAGGGTTTCCCCCCCCCCCCCCCCCCCCCCCCCCCCCCCCCCCCCCNTATGATGATATGTCAGTCATAGTCATTTTGACGGAGGAGTACTCGGTACCTTTTTCAGACTTCAGGTATTAAAGGGTTGGGGATTTCACTAGTCCGGGAGTATATGAAAGGGAAGGGAAATCTGTCAAATCTGTCTGTGAAAATGCTCAGAAGGATTAACAGATGTATTTTATGACTGTAAAAAGGTAGAGAAAACTTTCTGGTTTTGTGATTTATTCACATTTTAAAAACAGCGCATTTATAGCAGTTGAAAAAGGTAAAAAAAAAAGAACTAGGTATGTGAAAGGGGTACCATTTGTCAGTGAACGGTATACGAAAGGAGCACCTTTTCTGTCAAAGATGGTATATAAAGGGTAAGGGGCTGGAACTCGGGGAAGAGCCTCGCCGTAACGGTCAACACTTATTTCCATCCGCCAAACTGACGTTGACAGATTAATGATTCGTAGACAAAGTAAGGGTTAGGGTTAGGGTTGTTGGTATATATATTCAAATCAAACCATCAATTGTCAGCAAATCCTCGGTGGTATAGGGGTCAAAGTGATGCACTGCAGAGCCGATATCCTACTCGTGCCATCCTGAATTTTTTTCCCTTAAAAAATTGAAGAGACCTAGACTCATGAACAGAAATTTCAAGAGACAGAGAAATTTCATGTAAGAAAAGTGAAATGTCTTGTGAGAGCCACTGAGAGGAAAATGTCAGTTTAACGGATGGGAAACAAGTGACAACGTTGTTGAGTACCTTCACGGGAATTTTTAAGGTAATGGCCTATTGCCTTTTCTCTTCTCCTCCTTCCTTTATCTATTTTCCTCTCCTTTCCTTCGCTATTGTGATTTTCGGTGCTTACAAGAAAGTCTGAGGCCAGACTAACAAGCAACATTTAGAAACAGAAGTTAAAATACCTTTTTCTTCACAATATTTTCCGAGGAATCCCTCAGCACATGCGCAGTGATATTCATCATCTTCGTACTTTGCAACACAAGTCCCACTGTTCATGCAAGGGTCACTGGAACAAGGAGTCTGTTTTACAGTAAATTATAAATAAATACCAATAAGTCTTTTCTTACTTTTTGAATGTCCTTACTTTTTTCCTCGAGAGTTTCCCACCACACATCTTTTGAAAGATAGAAATTTGCTGGATCACCATAACCGTGGTTAAAAAGAAAAAAAGAATCGCTTGGGCAAAAATTAAAGAAAAGGCCTTTTGGCAGGTTCTCATGTCTTCAAATTGTCTAATTCGGGATGAGATCTGTTATCAATGGCTCGGCCGCCATCTTTTCTTACAGTTTTTTGCAACGGATAACAATTTATATAGAGAAAACAAAAGGATTTATTCTGCCCCTTGAATGTTAAGACCAAGGGCCAGCGCTATCCATCGAAAAAACCACTGGATAGCATGATTGGTTTTCCTAATACTTTCCGGTTGGATAGTTATTTATCTCTTGTGGATAGTGTTATTTACCCTCTGAACAACCGGCACCTGAGAACTAAATTTGACCTAACAGATGTGCTTTCCCAAAATGAAGAAAACATATACTCGCGATTGTAAAAGCAGTTTTGAAATATTAATAACATCTCACGGGCATGAATAGAATTATTTAACCGGAAACTAAGCAGTAGATTGACTTTGTCAGTTGGAAGCAGTCATGTTTTGATAATGAGAAAAATTTCTAACTGGGACACCACCTAATTAGCTTCAACAAAAAGGGGCAAAAGTTTTAACTTCAAAAGGAAATTGGCCCCTCCTTTTGATTTACCAGAACATGGATATCTTAGCTCTGAATATCAAACCAAACTAAATGTGTAACACACAGCAAAAAGATTTTTCCAGGCATATTTACCCTTAAATCTGCTTGAATCAGATTCCTTTACGGAGAGCGTGACCATTTCACTGACTATTAAGTAAGAGTAATTTGAATTTGCTGGATTGCGTAATCCAAAATACATTGAATAATAACTAGCTCCAAAGTTATTTATAATAATAAGAAAATCAATTATATGAAAGAGGATCATCGCATTTATAGACGCAACTTTTTGCAGTTGCGAAAAGAAAGCCTGAAAAAAGTTCAGGCTTGTATTGGGATTCGAACTCTTGACCTCTGTGATACGGGTGCAGCGCTCTTATCAATTGAGCTAATAAGGCAACTGGGAGCAGGTCGTTGAATTGTTTGGTTATAAACCCGTGAAAGTATTCCAAGCTTATGCTATACAATCATTTCGAGTTATATTGAAAGGATAATCTATATATAAAACGCATTTTTTTTGTCAACTTTTCAAAATAATGAAAAAAGATACTGAACCTGACAGCGGATATTAAATTGATACGGAATCTGTAATGAATAAAATTTACGTAACTTTGTAATGAGTTATTGTTTTTTGTCTTTTGTTTTTATATTTTTGTACGTTTTAAGCTCACCTTTATGCTTAAATGATGGAACACAACGCTGTCAAGAAACTTGTCTGAGTTGTTGTATTTATCGCTTGGTAGAAGCTCACATAAAAGTAGCCCTTCCTCGTGAAAGAACGCCGCAAAATTGACGGAAAAACACGATGAATGATCGACACAAAGTCTACCGCAGTCTTTAATATTTTTCACGGAAGCAGTGACCAAGGGGGTGATGTTTAAGTGGCGAAATTTGTGAACAGCAAAGTTAGCAAAAGCCAAACCATTTCCTGAATGTCGCTTTAAACTTTTCGTGCCATCAAGATATTCTTCACTAAATGCTGGTAACAAAGAATTCATGAAGATGCAAAACAAGATCATATCCAATATTGCTGACCCAAATAAAGCCATTTTTTTCGTTTCAAAGACTTTTACGCAGAAGTTCCATCGAATCTCTGGTAGATTGCAGCGCCGATTTTTGCCACAGTCCCTGCTTTGATGTTTAATTTAAAATCTATTTTACTCCAGAACAAAAACCGTTCGATGCGATTGGCCTGCTTTAGACAAAGTCAACTTGTAATCTCATTGGTTTAAAAGTACCACAATTTTTAGTATAATGTATTTAACAATTACTCCACGAGTACGCGTTGGATATGTGATGGTAGCTGGCCAACAAGGCGCGTAGCGCTGAGTTGGCTATAATCACCTCATATCCAACAAGCGAGAGTGGAATAATTGTTTTATTAAAAACGCCCACAAAATATCGAGAATTCTTCCCGACTCTATTTGAAAAAACAACCGATTTTTAGCTTGCTTGTAATTTTGAACAGACGCGCACAGTTATCATATTTGGAGAGCATGGTATAATGGCTCTTATTATATGGAGGAGAGTGTTTTACTGGGAACTAAACCACTCGTAGATTCCATACGCCACTTCATCCGGGACCCGAGTGGCGTATTTTCCGTATGTCACCTTTGTGAGTGTCGTATCGTTCAATGACATTCTTCACAATATTTTCCGAGGAATCCCTCAGCACATGCGCAGTGATATTCATCATCTTCGTACTTTGCAACACAAGTCCCACTGTTCATGCAAGGGTCACTGGAACAAGGAGTCTGTTTTACAGTAAATTATAAATAAATACCAATAAGTCTTTTCTTACTTTTTGAATGTCCTTACTTTTTTCCTCGAGAGTTTCCCACCACACATCTTTTGAAAGATAGAAATTTGCTGGATCACCATAACCGTGGTTAAAAAGAAAAAAAGAATCGCTTGGGCAAAAATTAAAGAAAAGGCCTTTTGGCAGGTTCTCATGTCTTCAAATTGTCTAATTCGGGATGAGATCTGTTATCAATGGCTCGGCCGCCATCTTTTCTTACAGTTTTTTGCAACGGATAACAATTTATATAGAGAAAACAAAAGGATTTATTCTGCCCCTTGAATGTTAAGACCAAGGGCCAGCGCTATCCATCGAAAAAACCACTGGATAGCATGATTGGTTTTCCTAATACTTTCCGGTTGGATAGTTATTTATCTCTTGTGGATAGTGTTATTTACCCTCTGAACAACCGGCACCTGAGAACTAAATTTGACCTAACAGATGTGCTTTCCCAAAATGAAGAAAACATATACTCGCGATTGTAAAAGCAGTTTTGAAATATTAATAACATCTCACGGGCATGAATAGAATTATTTAACCGGAAACTAAGCAGTAGATTGACTTTGTCAGTTGGAAGCAGTCATGTTTTGATAATGAGAAAAATTTCTAACTGGGACACCACCTAATTAGCTTCAACAAAAAGGGGCAAAAGTTTTAACTTCAAAAGGAAATTGGCCCCTCCTTTTGATTTACCAGAACATGGATATCTTAGCTCTGAATATCAAACCAAACTAAATGTGTAACACACAGCAAAAAGATTTTTCCAGGCATATTTACCCTTAAATCTGCTTGAATCAGATTCCTTTACGGAGAGCGTGACCATTTCACTGACTATTAAGTAAGAGTAATTTGAATTTGCTGGATTGCGTAATCCAAAATACATTGAATAATAACTAGCTCCAAAGTTATTTATAATAATAAGAAAATCAATTATATGAAAGAGGATCATCGCATTTATAGACGCAACTTTTTGCAGTTGCGAAAAGAAAGCCTGAAAAAAGTTCAGGCTTGTATTGGGATTCGAACTCTTGACCTCTGTGATACGGGTGCAGCGCTCTTATCAATTGAGCTAATAAGGCAACTGGGAGCAGGTCGTTGAATTGTTTGGTTATAAACCCGTGAAAGTATTCCAAGCTTATGCTATACAATCATTTCGAGTTATATTGAAAGGATAATCTATATATAAAACGCATTTTTTTTGTCAACTTTTCAAAATAATGAAAAAAGATACTGAACCTGACAGCGGATATTAAATTGATACGGAATCTGTAATGAATAAAATTTACGTAACTTTGTAATAATAAAAAGAACATTACACGTTGGCTCGAAGATATGAATTTTATGTTCTCGTGGCAAGAACAATATCTCACTCGTTCGCTTCGTTCACTCGTGAGATATTGTTCTTGCCACTCGAACATAAAATTCATATCTTCTCGCCACCGTGTAATATCCTCTATATATACCATGATTGCTAAGCCAATCAGAGCCCTAGAATTGCATTATCCAATGATTCAGTTTTTAATAAACAGATTTAGCCAGGGTCAAAAGCAAAGCTCTCGCTTTTTTCTGCCGATCAAAATGCTCTTTGAATTTACACTTTTTACGCTTTACAACGTAAAAAAATCGAATTTATTACCGATACAAGCTAGGGAGGGGTTGAGGGTTATATCTGGTTGTATTTTTTGTTTACAGGTATGTGGGCCTATAACTGGGGGGCTTATAAGTGGGGGTAGGGCGGGGGGAGCTTTTAACGGTGGAAGTCTAGGGTATATGAACAACCGAGAAACAAACACGCACTTTTTCAACAAACACATACTTTATTGATAGGAAAAGTTTAAATAAATGTAGCCTGTGAAAACAGGGGTAGGGATTTTATGAAGAATTCTATATAGTAGCAGGAGAAAGATGTAACGTTACAGGAGAATATTTCGAAAGAGGCTCCACGTCTGATTAAAAAATAGTCACACACTTGTAGGCTACCGAATGATAGCCGGAGAATTCAGAGTAATAAATGGTGAATTCTCCGATCTCCGATGCCTAATGAACCCCCTGCAGAGGAGAAACGTCTATTTACGCAGGCTAAAATAAATGTTTCCTAAATATTATTACACAATTACACCACAGCCGGACACGCAAACCCCGAAAACCAATTTTGGAAAAACACAGGTATCTTGTTTCCCCCCCCCCCTGCTGCTTATGTTACATGTTAAAATAAATCAGCGTTTGTGGCGTTAATTAAGAAGAATTCAGAAGTTCCAAGTTACCCTCTTATTTTTGCAGCATTTGATAATTTCAAGATTGCAACTAAACCCAAAAAAGTACGGCTTTTTTGTGGTCTTTTATAGCAACCCTTTCGCTCTTAATAGCGTCAGTCTTAAGAATAACAAACCTTAGTCTATAATTCATAAACATCTACTGTCTTCAGTTAGTAAAATCTTATTTTAAAAACAACGAGAGTGGTACTATGATAAAGTGTTGCTAAAGAAGTTTTATTCAGTGATTGGTAACCCTATAGGATTTGCTACAAAAACTCTAAGGTAAGGTAAGTATAGACCGCATTTTAAACCGTTATCAAATCATCGGCCGAGAAAAAAATTGCTACTTCTTCAGTACATAGGCCCAGGTTCAACCTCATTGCTGTTTAGAAGCGAAATGGCCGGTTTAGAAAGTCAAATATAGCAAAAAAGTTGAGAAGATGAACAAATTGTCGGATTTTAATCCCTACAGATTGAAGTGTAACCCTTATTCTTCAGTGATGCTGGACGGCGACAGCAAGATTGAGGGGTGCGAAAAGTAGTTGGTTTAAACATGGGCCTTAATTGAACATTATAAAGACGGTATATCGTAATTTAAAGTTATTATTCGTTTGGTTTCTCGTACTGCACAAAGCATGGTTGGGTAGCGTACATCCGCACTCCTCCTCCAAAATGATATACTGACTGACACACCCATTAGCACTCTGTTGGGACTAAAAAAGAAGATTCAATTTATTGTTTAACTTTTAAATAAGGATCTCCTAAGTTAATTTTTCTATTGCACCAAAGTAATTTTGTCGTGTATGAGAATACATAGCCTAAATTTTATCATAGAGGCAGGTGCGATCCTATTCCTACTTCCGTTATATTTCTACGCAAATTCATTTGATGGAATGTTGAATCTCAAGGAATCATATTTATTTAATACTAGTCAGAACCTCGGCTTCTGTCTTTCCTTCTGTCCTTCAAGTTCACAGCTTTGATAAGTAAAGCAGGGAAAGCTAACGACTATGGCGAGTCAAGACTTCCAGTTTAATGGGACACATTTCACTCCTCAGGTTGCAGTTTTTAGGCCTTTGCGTTTATGCTATCAACGCTGACTGGTTCCCAGCCACCTCTTGTCTCTCTCGATCTCAGAACGGTCGCGGGGGACTATGTCAACGAAGAGATATTCCACATGCCTCCCTCACTGAGATTAGGGAGCGTTAGCAGCGACAACAGCGACGGCAACGAGGACATCAAAAAAGCAATAGGTGTGATGAGCAAAACGCTTTTTTGTACAGTTCGTTGCCGTCACTGCACGACTACGACGTGAAAATGCTTGATCGCAAGTTATATGGAGGACGTAAACAAGGGATGACGAATGTTTACTTTCTCTTTTTAAACTTGAGTGCAGTCCCCAAGTAATCAACTCCAGAGAAATTCGCCTACACTCGACATTTTCAGCGAACTGAAATAAACGTGGAAAACTGTAAAAACACGCGAATTCATTTTAAAAGTGACGTTTTTGCTGCCGTCGCTGTCGTCGATGCTTAGCTCCCTATGAGAGAGGAGAGACGATTGGGCAACAGTCAGGTATTTAAGAAGAACAAAGATTACTGTTCTGATACTCATCAAATAACGTCGCCATGGCCATTTACTGTGCTTAGTATTTTCTTCATCTGGGAACAAATTTATAAAGAAGGTCATCATTATCATCGTCGTCGTCGTCTTCATCAACATTATCATTATCATGATCATTTTCAGCATCATCGTCATCATCATCGTGGTTGTCATCATTATCATCATTAGCAGCATCATTGTCAGCATCATCATCGTCGTCGTTGTCGTCATCTTCAGCATCATCGTCGTCGTGTAGGAGCCTATTACTAATTACTGTTATTAATAGGCTCCTGCGTCGCGTGTTCGTGAGCATCATCGTCAGCATCGCCAGCGTCATAATCGTCAAGATCATCTTCGTCATTATCATCGTCAGCACAATCGTCAATATCATGGT